AACATCATTTCATTTGCATTCAGTTGGCCTATGTTTTCACATAATATGAAAACCTAATTTAGGCCTTCCTAAGTATCTGACTGTTTAAATACCAGATAAAACCTGTTATGACATGACATTTTGTACAGTGTAGCGCCATGCAGAGCATTTAAGTGGTGGGCCTTTGAAAGCAACGTTTTTCTGAAGTGTGATTAACCAGGGAGGGCCGAGTTCAGGCAAATCCGCCAACATCTCTCTGAAGCATGTCGTAATTCTCTCCCCAGGTCTGAAACAACATACATATACAGCCACAGCTTTCTCTCAACTCCCTCATTGTTTGCCATTATTCTTTTATTGTATTACTGTTTTTGCTGTCTGTTTATTCTTTTGAGTTTTTTCACACATCTGTAACACTTTCTGGTGATGAAGGAGACAGTGGTATTTTTCTCCATGGTGCTTAAGGAAGCCCTCCATCACTGAAGTGCTGTTAACAATGTTAACAATGACCATGCTATCAAAGTATGTAATCCTTAAATTGAGTAAAGAAGAAAAAGGGGACATTTTTCAGAGTTTTCTTTTAGTAATTACAAACATATCCAAAACCATATCCATTCTGTGTGTGCTAAAGTTTAATTGCATTGGAATCATGTCATTTTTTAAGTCAAAAGAAAAATGATACTGTATAAATTTAATTTACAAATAATCTCCTGACCAATTCTCCTTCAAAAGAATCCCCAGGTAATAGTTATTTCGAAATATTATTCAAAGGTAAAGCTTTTAGTGGTTTGGCATCAGGTTGGATGTGGTGTACAGCCAGGGTAAATGAATGCTAATGTTACCAAATGTGTACCTAATGTTCTCCTGTTCCTGTAAAACCAGCCATTTGAGCAAGGTAACGACAAGCCCTCCTGTGCATGCCGTTTTAAGGCCTTTGGCTCAAAGTCGGACACAAACAAGCTCCCAACATTTCCTTTTCAGTGTGGTTATTGGAGTTAGACATCAGATTATATTGGACTGGACTTTCCCGGCTGACCCTCGAGAGGTTACATTTTTCTCATACCCAGTCTGGAGTCCAGATTGCTTTACTTGGGAAAGGGCACAATGAAATATTCACGTGTTTCATGAGTCCAGTTCAAACCTATGAATTCTGGCCTCATTTTGGAGGTGTGATGTTATGTGTGTGCAACACTGTATGGACACATGGGTCGGACCCAATCAGCAAGATGACTAGAACACATGTAACTAAACTCCCACTGCAGATAAATTGCAGGCAAATGACAACAGTTATTTAATCATATCAAGTCAAAGCTCAACACATGTAATTGAGCGCTGAACACATGTTATAGGCTTAACTTTAGGTCAGGACACTGTGCTTTCTGGTAGTTGTATAAACAGTACAGACATTCTCATGGCTCAGTCAGGAGGTAGGGTCACACAGTGTATTTGCCAAGAATTCAGACGTATTTTGACTACTTATTCCTATGTGAACATAATTATGCAAATATGAATGTACTAACTTTGGATAGATTTCTCCGGTATTACTGCTCTGTTTTTGACTTAATCCTAACAGGATAGTAGTAGCATCATGTTTAGAGATACAGGCCTGTTAACTGTAAGGTCAACAGTTCAAATCCCCAGGCTGGCTGAGAAATGTGGTTGGGAGACACACTGACACTTCTCCGTTACCTCATCAACAATACTCTACACCCCCATATGTTACAATAGAGCCGGTCAGAGACCATATGTATCGTCAAACACAGCTCCAACAGGTGTTCTGAAGAATCACGTCGAAGGTCTCACTAGAGAGTTTCCCCTGAGTTAATTAATAAGTTTAAGAAGGTCAAGAACGTGTACTATAACTAAACACTGAGTAAAAGTTTTAAAACCATATCTTGATCCTTGGATCTAGCATTATAGGGACATTTTAAAGATTGTATTTTAGTTTTCTTCCCTGCACAGTTATTGGCTCCATGGTAGAGATTTCTCAGTCACAATGAGTGTGTGAATGAGCAGCAAGATTATATCCTGATAAGCCTCTGCAATCAGTGTATGAGTGTGAGTTTGAGTGTGTGAGTGTGTGTGTGTGTGTGTGTGTGTGTGTGTGTGTGTGTGTGTGTGTGTGTGTGTGTGTGTGTGTGTGTGTGTGTGTAGTAGTAGTAGTGTAGTAGTAGAGTAGTGTGTGTGTGTGTGTGTGTGTGTGTGTGTGTGTGTGTGTGTGTGTGTGTGTGTGTGTGTGTGTGTGTGTGTGTGTGTGTGTGTGTGTGTGTGTGTGTAAGTAGTGTAAGTAGTGTAAGTAGTGTAAAAGCACTTTGAGTGGTTGGAAGACAAGGAAGGTACTATATGAATGCGAGTCCATTTACCATTGCCTGCTTTTGTTCTTATTTTACTCGGGAATGGGACCATTCTTTTTCAAATGAATTCTATATTGTAGAAGACCATGAACCCATTAGAAAATGTTTGCTGAGATAATAAAACGGATCATTTTCTCCTCTCATCTCAAGAGTGGAGTTACACCCTGCTGAATGTTGGAGTGAATGCCTATTTAAAGCACATTCTTAACCAGAGGTTGCCCTTCAATACTTACTGTGGTCATATTTATGTACACAGTGTGATTTTATTGAACAACTATGATACTATAACATCAAGTGACTAAAAACGTTGGAACTGAATTTCATACAGTTATTCGCCACAGCAAAGTTATTTGTCAAAATGTGTTATATATATCAGGACTGTTAGCAGTAGCACTAGCATGGCCTCCTTTATTTCACTCCTTGCTAAAGATGATGTTCATCTACAGCCAGACAATGGGCACTAACCCAGCTACATGATACAGCCATAGAGGGTTAAAACGATCTAAATATTCTCTGGCAATAATGTTGTCTTTTGGCTTTACAACAACAATGTAAAGGCACATCCTTACATGGCAGTCAAGAAATGCTTGCTATAAATAAAGAAAAACGTTTCCCTCCATCAATCAAGACAAAATGTCTTTCAACTGATGGCTCACAGCTTTATATTATAAATAAAGTGAAAATAAAAATAAGTGAAATACATCGCTGATGACCATAGTTGCTCAATCTTGATTTACAACAAAGAAACCTTCTCATCAGAACACTCCTTGACCACAAGGACAAATTCGCAAATACACACACATATGCAAGGCAGCACACACCAACATCATTTTGGGGTGCAGAGTTTATTACTTCACAGTTAGTAAACACATAACTTTAAGTGCTCTCTACGGGTGGGAAGTTACAATAAAACGCTACATTGAAAAAGAGCTGAGCCGTGACTACCTCCTGTGGAGGGACAGGTCACATGATTTGACAGCCAGAGAGTGATGTCATGTAGGTCAGAGGTTGTGGAACTACCTTGGGTGGCATAGTTTAGCTTTCCACAGAACAAATCCTCCCTCCGGGGGCTGTGAGGAGACTTATAATAGATGTGAATCTCTCAGTGCTCCGCTGCAAATCTACACACTATTCCCCTGCTGGACATCATGGCACACTGGGAAAGAGCTGCTGAGAGATTTCAATGTTTATAGATTTAGAGCAGAGAGCACAATTTAGTTAAATGTTTTCCATACCAAAAATGTACATCAAATACTCCGTCCTCCCAGTTGATTTATTGGTAGTTGATGAAGAACCAAACATTAATTTGTGTCCGGTTGATCAAATTTTCCTGTTTCTGTTCTGATGAGCATCAGTCATGCTGCCCCTCACAGTCCTGGAAAGAACCCAGACATTTTAATTACAGATACATTAATAATGTTTGTCACAGCTAAAATGTTAAAAAATGTACCATAACTCTGTGAGGTCTGAGAAGCACTTGAGAAAATCATTTTTCAAGTTAAACAATAGTGAGTCTGAAAGATTTCTGATCTCTTATCATTCATATATAAATGTAACACAAGGTAATAGCCAACATGTGCGTGAATGATTCCTTATTACAAATAATCTGGTAAAATATTATAGTAATTGCTAACATTGGTTAATAAAATATTCATCAGCTACAAAATCTACTCCTCACAGTGCATGGGTATACAAATGAAAACCTGCACGTATACCATGCATTTCTGTATGTGTGTGCATGCATGTGTGTGTGTGTCAGATGTATTTTTATAAGAGCTTTCAACAACAAAGGTTCAAAACAAAGCACTTTTTAGAGAACACAGGTCCGAACAGAACAATAATCAGATATTAAGGAGACTGCAGACGGAGTAAGGCTGGTCTAAAGGGGATTTCAGCAGGCCACAGGGGGCCACTAAACCAAAATAAAGACTGCTGGTGCTTTCCCCAACCATTCAGGCCGCGTTTAGTCTTTACCTGATGGTCTGATAGCTGTTTGTAAACAGCTGTTAGATTCATAATTGTAAGCACCGGCAGACACTGGGGCCAGACAGAGACAGTCTTAGACCGCTGCCGCTACCCATAAACCACTTAAAAAATAATATCGTCCACCAGATTTGTTTTGAAATGGCGAATTAAGATGTAAATCTGAATGAGAAAATGAGAATTTTGTATCATGGTTGCCATAGTCACAACATTTCTGCGTTTTTTATTAGAAAATATGGCATTTTGCAATTTTGTGATGCATCAGAGCGGTGTTTGGTGAGCAAAGATAGAGAACGAGTGTACGAGTAATTTTTGAAATTTGAAAATACATATATTGCACATACTATTCAGATGATTGAACCTGTCTGTAAATGATATCTGGAAGCATCAGATGCATGTCCAGAGGAAGCTTGTATAGGTTGAAGGTAGAGCTGGTGTGCTTACAGACAATTGGCAGATTCAAAAGCTGTTTGTGTTAGACAAAACATTTTTTTTATAATGGGAGGTTCTTGGGAAATATCAGCCTAATGATCAACTACTGTACATGTGCTTTTTTATTTATTTAAAAAGTCAATTATAAACTGCAACTTGAAGAGCTGTCAAACATCAATTTGCAAATGTAACTGAAAAGTGAAAGGTGACAACACACATTTAGTTGCTTTATTTGAGATATAATAATAATGCACATGATTTCTGCGCCCAATATAATTTACAGCCAGCGTTTAATGCTTATAGTTTATGCTAAATTGACAGCACAATTTACTAAAATGTTCGCCTAATTCTTTTTTTGTGCATCAATGAACAGCCTCAGAACTTTGTGCTTCCTGTTTTGTCCAACGCTTCTTCCCAGGCCAATTACACAATGGTTCATGTCTTCTTGTGCCCTAATCCAAAATGGGGAGACTTCAAGCATTCAGTGTGTGGGGTGGATGTATCTGTGTATCTTATGCATGCATGTGTTAAGCATATCACTGCCAGCATGACAGGGCATTTAGCCATATGTTGGGTGTCTGCCCAGGCCTTGTGTCTTTGTCGACAGCTCTGTCAACACAGCAGGAGCGTTCACGCCGCATTTCATCTGTTGACTGAGGAGGGAGCGCCACCTCTGAAGAGAAAACCAAGTGTTAAGAAGTCATTTGTCTTGATTAGCTATCTTTGTGATTATTCATTTTAAAATGGCAGAAAAAAAATGCTGCCATCTGCTCTGGCAACTTCTGCTGCACAAGTAAAAAAAAAGCCTAAAATACAGAGAAAACATGCAAGCTGTATATATTCAAGATACGTGATGCGGTTGGAATGGAAGTGCTTTTGGGCAAAATGTCTGACAAAAAACACACACTTAGCTGACGTGGAAGAATTGCTGAAGAAAAGAGAGAAATCTGTTGAAATCTGGATCAGGGACTTAACAGAGAAATAAGTACCAAATATGAGTAAGTGGCCAGATTAAAGTGGAGTGTTAATCACAGGAAAAATACAAGAAAAATACGGGATAAGATACACGTTGGTGTTCTGTTTGCTCAACTTTACCCACCAGAGTCCTTCCATGTTTCTGCGCCAAAGTAAATAGTCACTCCTGTCACAGGCCTTTCAAATCAATAAATAAAGAAGCCAAGTTAAACTTATTAACATGTTAACAAGACACATTGTTTTCCTATTACCTAATACAAACAGTTAAATGTTTAATAATATGCATTTGCTTTCTTTTTGTTATTACAGGTTTATCCAGTATCAATTGCTGCATAAACTTTGGATCTGACATAAGAGTTTTCTCAGGCAGACTTTCATTACCGAGTGCTGGGGCATTTGTGGGCATGTTGGTGCCTCGGGCAAGATATACATTGGTGCCCATGAGGGGGTTGATATTTTTATTTCAGTATTGTAATTAAAATAATGTTAAAATATCTAATTTAAAAATAAAATAAGTGGCCTGTTTTCTCAGTCAAACTATATGTGGCGGTGTGGTGAGGGTAGGTGAAACTTACTGCTGAAACTAAATATCAAAAGGGTAAGAAAACTAAACAAAAACTTGTCTCTGCCCCTTTAATGTGGTGATCCTGCCGGCAATGCCAGAATGTGGCGGTGTGGTGAGGGTAGGTGTTTAAAGTCGGTTGCGGACAACGCCACCTGGGGGAGTTTCGCCCCCAGGAAATTACAAAAACTAAGTCTAATACTGCTAAGGACAATCAGGTTCGTTTTACACCACGGGTAGAGACAGTTTTAAGGGTCAGAATACAGTTTTATTTATAATATACAAAATATCTAAAAACACCACACACAATACATTTGAATAAAATGCCCACTGTGGGGAAACGGACAGGGCTTGGCTTACCACGGCGGCAGTTAACAAAAAGGGGAGTAAGTAAAATAAAATCACCCGTGACAGTGCACACCACTCAAAACGGATACGTGAAGAAAACCACTGCCACCACCAGGGAGTCTGCCGCCTCAGGCCCACAGCACCTGTCCGGCATAGGATAAAAGGTTATAATTCTGACAAAAGGATAAACTAAAGAAAACAACAAAATACACCAAATCTGAATTAATGGAAACAACAAATTAAAGCAAATGTAAAGGACTGCAAGGAATAAACAAATTAAATCAAATTAAAGTAAATGTAAAGGACAGCAAGGAATACACAAATTAAATCAAATTAAAGTAAATGTAAAGGACGGCAAGGAATACACAAATTTAATAATACATGTCCTTATAGTCGTGTATTAGGACCATTCCCTGACACCAAGAACGGCTCCAGCAACAGGCCAGAGCAAGCAGTCTGGGCCTGTCCACAGCAAGGAGCGAAGCTCACAGAGAGCCCAAAACTCACAGAGAGCCAAAACAGCAGCACGGGACGGGAATGATGGCCAAAGGTGGGGAGCGAGAATAGTTAGAACACCCCTGGAAAGGGGATTAGAATTACTATAAAATCTGTATGAAAGTGACGGTTTAACTTATAATATGGGGGAGGGGCTCATACGTACCACCCGGTGCAGCCAGGCGCAGCCACAGAGCCGACAAGGGAGGGAATGAGACCCGCAAATCCCACGGCCAAATCCCGCTGTGACATAAAGAATTGATAAGGCAGGGGAACTACGCAGCAGATTTAAAGAGAGTAGACAACGGCACTCACCAACAGTGTGCAACGCCGCTATCACGGAGCCTCTGGCGGAGCAAATGCCTCCCCTAACGCCCTGGACGTCAGCTGCGCTAAAATGGGAAAGTGTCAGCAGTGTGCAGCTTGTGACCATGAATAAATGACAGACTGCACCGTGCTTTACCTGTCCGGTAGAGAGTAGGACTTGAATGTTGCCCCGCCAAACAATTTGCGTTACTACGCTAAACTGCAGCCTCCACAGGAGAAGCGGAAATGGGAGGGACCCAGTTTGGCACCTCAGCTTAAATAGCCGGTGCGCACAATTGGTGCGCTGGCCCGGTGCCAAGCAGCGGCACAGAGGGAGATCCAGACCTCCAGTCACATTAGCTATGCCCCTTTGAAAGGCTTTCACACCAACGCGGTTCCTGTTCTAGCTCCGTGCTAGAGCTTTTCTGGTTCGGAACCAGTTTTTCTTTTCAGCCCCCGTTTTGTTCACACCGCCCAGAGCCCGAATGGTGCTGCCGCTGCTGCGTCATGACGTCACGTTTACTTCGCTGATTTTCTCCCCAACGGCGTCTGGTCGATGATCGTGTTTCTTTTAATCATACGAAGCCAGAGGCCTGAGGCCTGTTCTACGAATCTAGTTCCACATATAGATATGTTTGATTTAGCCGGTTGACCTAATCCAAAACAAACGCGCTCTCGCTAAACTGTCCTACGACGCGGGTTATCAACCAGATTACTCAAGCCAACCGTACCCTATCTAGTTAGGTGCGCGTTCACATAAAAGGGGTGGTATTTGGAGCGATCGACCAATCACAAACATGGCCCCCTTGAATCGCCTCAATCGCGCCGCAGAATTCGCGTCCACCGCTTCATGCTCGCCGCCGGAGCGAATTTGCGTCTGTCCGCATCTCTGTATTGACTTTACATGTAATCGCGTCGCCCCCAAACATCGCATCGCGTCCGGTGTGAACGCAGCATTACAGTGTCATATACTGTATGCAGAAGTATTATTTTAAGCAACACATTAAGTTGACGAAACACTAGAGTCAAATGTAATTAAAGTCAGATCCACTCTTGTCTTAGTAGTAATATCATAAACCTGTTAATGTACGCATTCAAACAATTTTTCTTTTACCAGCTGTATTCACCTTGCAGGTGCAACTATGTGGCTTTTATCCTGGATAAAGTGTTTAAGTCATGGATGTTTAAAGTTTAACTTCTTCATATTTGTCTAATATTGTAGTTCACTTTTCATTCAGGAAGTACGACGCTGTGCTGTCAGTACACTTCTCCATGTTTGTGATTAGTCAAATGTTGCTAACCCCGCCCCTTTCATGTGAACGTTAACGCGCACTCAGCCGGACAGAGAAACCCTGGCTTGAGTTAACGAGTTGATAACCAGCGTCGTAGGACAGTTTAGCGAGAGCACGTTTGTTTTGGATTAGGTAAACCGGGTAACTCAAACATATCCAGGTTATGTTGAACCGGCTTCGTAGTACAGGCCTCTGATTAAATGAAATAACTACTTCTCAACCCTTGTACTTTTCTCCAGAGTGCCGTGGTTCATTGTTTATTAATGTGTTTTAGCGGCATTTACCGACCGCTGCAGTGCTGCCCGCTGTTTGGCATCACAACGCTTTTATGAAAGTTTCTTTGGTATAAAATGGTTGATGTTAGCATAGCAACCGAAGCTAAACTGACTATCTTGACTACTTGTTGCTATCCTATTGTAGCATAAGCCGGCACATTTTACCGGCGTGTTTTTCATTATGATTCTACTTGTGATAGTTAGACATGAGTCATGACAACCTGTGCAGCCCATGTATTGATTCCATCCGATAGCTGCTATAATACAAAAAAAGACGTCTGCCTTCTCTCTGCAATGATCAATGACAGCGAACGGATGGTCAAAGTAAGGTCCTTACTTTGACCATCCGTTCGCTGTCATTGATCATTGCAGAGAGAAGGCAGACGTCTTTTTTTGTATTATAGCAGCTATCGGATGGAATCAATACATGNAAACTGTTTCACCGTTATGACAGTAATGTTCGTCCCGTCGCATCACACATAAGCAGTAAGTTTTCTCGTTCGTGTTGGCGGTGGGCCTTCTGTCTGATATTGTGTTCTCTGCTTCTTCTTTCCGAGCACTATATTTGTTTGTTTGTTTGATCGCAGACCCAAGGTAAAAGTGACGAGAGTGCTAGGTCTGAGCTTGTTTGTACATTGTGTATTTTAGCTGTTAATCGCAGGTCCACCCTACTTTTACTTTTTTCTATTCGGCAGACACACACCGAAGAATTAGCAAACAAAACACGGAAGTGAAGCCGAAGCGAAGAGCGATTCGACTTGTCGGTTAGTCTCACTAAAGAAACACGGCGCTGAGAGAGACTGAGGGGCACCGGTCTAAGTGTACAACTTAGCCGGCTTCCCCTCCACACTTTTACACGCCGCATTTCCGTTGCTGCCACGCCCTCGTGTGGTTGGACTGATTCCGGCGCGGCGCTTACGGAGCTGACCGGAGAGCTGCCGAGCACTGAGGGTTGTTTAGCCGACATTTCCGAAACCACAGTTCGCCGGAAATCTTGTGCTGTTGTTACGGTTCGAATCGTCGACACTTATGTGCGCGACTGGCTCATAACTCGATGTTAGGGGGGGGGGGTGTTTGTCTGTCTGTGTTTATAACTACACCAATCGACTAATTTATTTGATGTGTTGTAAATGAGAACTAACCCCGACCGGTAACTAACGTAGTGACAAGTTTTTGTTTATACCCGAAAGTACACTGATAGTGAATTAGCGAGTTACTCCGTCTCGCTGGGTCTTCAGCGGAGTGTGTCGTGAGCTGGGGCCGGTATCCTCGACTCAGTCAACCCTCTCCGCACGGAGGGCTCAAGAGACAGCGGTACCTTTGTGTCAACCTACTCGTCATAACCTCGCACTACAACCTGACCCGCGTGTAGTGCACGACACCTTCCGAGACACCGTAGAGTCCCGAAGCGAGCCATCGTCTTCTTGAAATAGCGTGGCACTCATTCTACCGTGGAAAAACTTATGTTACTATAAGTAGGGGTTGGTGATTTCTTATTCTCATTTGACAATTATTGACTCAAAGACCAGACGTCCCTTATACAGGTCATGACCCCGGTCTCCTCCCATCTTCACCATCCGTACCTCGTAGTTGTGATTTCACCTCTTTCCTGATGATGCGTCCTCGAACGAACGTTCAGTTGATGTAGTGTCTGTCGGACACCCCTGACACTCGGGTAATGTCGACTCTTTGTACTTGGGTCGTTCCTACGACTAGTCGTGTGTGTGACAATAATTTTTCTAGTCTAGAACATCGGCCGGAGTGGTAAAGTAAAAAGATTAACCAGTTCGCGTTTTACCCCGTCCGGTCCATTCTCTCTGTCACGTGAGAAAAGAAGAGTACGTGTACAGTGTAACACTTACACACGTACAATCAAACTCCGTTTTGCTTGGTCTGTCCCACGATTTGCATTATTGTTCTGTACCATACGTTAAATATCTATGAAAACCACGATATTAGTAGGTTACATGACATAAGTGGGTTGAGTCCCTGACCGTTACTAACAAAAGGAACATTACTACATACAAAGAAAGACATAAAGTTGCGGTGTGTTCGTAGGCGGGCGGCGTAGCCGACGTAGCGGACGTAAAAGTCGGGACGCCTTCGGTACGCGTTCTTTGGTCTCAGGTTGGTGTGTAGCGGCCTTTACAGAGATGGACAGAAACATTTCCCAACTTGGGATCAATAAAGTTCTTCTTATCTTATCTTATGGAGAATCTGAGCTAAAGCATTAAGCAACATGACAAAATAAAAAAGTGTATTTATATTGTTCCAGTTAAATTATGTTTCTAGAAATATGGTAACATGCAGACTCCTTTTTATCGGTGTCACCTGAGGTGCAAGTTTATTTTCACCCAGTGTTCAGGCTACATATTGAATCATAAAAAACAGTGAAATGTAGCTTTAGATCAAAGTGCTTGAGAACTGCTCAAATGTTGTGTTTGCTGGAGGAATCTGACCAGAACAAACCATTATATTTGGTTGTGTTCGCAGCAACGTATGCATGCTTTTTACTATCTTATTCAAAAAAGTACAGTTGTTTATTGACAATCCCATTTTATTCCACAACTCTGATGTATTTCAGATGAAGTACACTAACTAGGAACACCCAGTTCAAACAATCTTCAAAGAGCCTCTTACCCTGTAGATGACTTTGGGCTCGAAGGAGCAGACAATGCTGCTGTTGTAGAGGACTGGGTGTTTTTTATACACTTCTTTCAGGGCTGCAGCTGCCTGGGAGAGGGGGGAGAAACACATGGTTATTGAAAGACAGTCCACTGTTTAGATTTTTGTGAAAGAGGCTTTTTAGAGCTGTGTGCGTGTTTTCCCGTGCAACAGTTTGGTGGTATCTAGCAGCTGTTTATGTGTAGCTGCACTGCAGCAGGCCCTGAACTCAAGAATGTCGCTGCCAGAAACAACAACTGTAGCCCTGTATTCATTATCCATCTAAAAATGTGCAGAGTAAGGAATTTATATTCATGCATTAGCAATTTAGCTTGCAGATATGCACAACTAAATGATCCAAACTCTGAATTTTAAATGGCATTAGGTATACAAATATAACTGCATGTGTCAGCAAGGAGTTGCAACACTGACTGTTGTCTCTGGCTCAGTTTGTTGTGATGATTGTGTACTATGGCTCAGTAAATGCTATCTTTGCTACAAAGTAACCCCTGTTCTCTTCATTATGCAATGCTTACTAGGTACAAATCAATTAAATCAACAATATGACAGAGGGATTGCACATTCTAAAGTTAGTTTGGTTAACAGTACCTCATCTGGGTGACCTTTAACGTCAAAGTAGATGGTGAGCTGCAGTTTGATGCACTCCTCCACCGCCTCCTCCAGAGTCGGGATCTTCTCCCCAGTAAATGTTTCGCTGGTGACAGAGGACACACATGTTTTAGTGCAATCTCAGGCTGACGTGCTTATCATGCTTTTAAAACTAATTTACAGTTCACGTGGGAAACATTACATTATGAACCGACATTGCCTGGATCATAGTGAAATGCATGTGATGATAACCAAGAATTGAACTGTACATAAAGACTCTTAGCATGTGTCTGAAAGTATAGACAGGACTTTGCCTGGGTAAGGCAGTGTAGTTCAGTAACTGCAAGGCCTCCTAGGTGATTGTAATACAAATCCGTATTTACAGAACTTAGTGGCATTAGCAAACTTGTTGACACTTCAGTGGCCGATTGCCATCATTCATAAAGCTTATATGGACATGTTTTGCTTATCATCCTCATTATATTATCTTATCTTAGGACACTATATGAATCAGTAAACCTTGTGTGTCCTGTAACATTGTGATATCTACTATACAGTATGACCTATTAACATGCTCTAATGCTCTAATGTTTTAAGAAATACAAAACCCTATTTTTGTGCTTTTTTATGTTTTTTCCTATCTTTGAGTGACTGTTTTGCATTTTTCTTTCTCCTTTTGTTTGTTCAGAAGGGAGCTGTTTATAGAAACCTGTGGTCTTTTTGTCTGACACACACCTCTATGTATAAATAACAACATGCCTCTCTTGTGTCTAAACTGATAAGAGCAATGATTGAATGTGTTACATGACTATTTAATCTTTCCTTTAGTATTTACTTACAAATATTCAAGGCTTCCACTATCTATGCACATAGGGTATCACCATCAAACATCTCCACATGTATCTGTATAACAATCAATTCAGCTTTTCTAACAGCTGAGCCTGAAAAATATATTCTGAATCAGGCAATTTTGCTGCAGAAAGTACAACTTGAGCAAGCCCATTAGAAAAAAAGACGGAACTCTTCAGGCTACAACAGCATCTTGCAATCAAAGATAAGTCTCAAGACACTAAAACTTAATGGAGCACATATATTTTAAAACTTTGACCCTTCAGCTAGCCCACAAAACCTGCACGACTTGTTCTCCTGCTGCCACACAGCCAGATTGTATTTCTCCCACCCCCAGTGGCTTTATAAACAAAGATAATAGATTTCACACAGTCGCTTATTTCATTGACATACATGCTGTGAATCCTGGATCATCCTAAATCTAGTGTTCAAAAAGCAAAACGTTCCCAAAGAATAAAATGTGTAATGTCTGCACATCTGTTTGTTTGTATGAATCTTAAGCTACATCTTTCTTTTTTCACCTGAGTCTGTGTTTAGCAGCTGCGTCCAGATTACCCAGCTCTGACAGTCTCATCTGGCAGAGGGGTCCCGACCCATTGGTGGTCCGGTCCACAGTCTCATCGTGCATCAGTATCGGGACGCCGTCGGCTGAGAACTCCAGGTCCAACTCCACACCTGTCGCCCCATTTTTACTGGCCTTAACAGGGACAGATGATTGAGAGGGTTGGAAAACAAGTATTTCAGGAGGGTTTGCTTCTGGTTGTGGCCAGTTATCTGTCAAAAAATAAGATTGAATCTAAATCCCAACCTTCACTGACTTCTGATCAGTACTGGTTTATGATGGCCAGTATAACCAACAATAAACTCAAGCAATAAGCCATTGTTTGAATACAATCTCCACTATGTAGTTGTCCACTCAAGTGCGTTTACAGATTTGATTTTCAATTCTGAATATCCTGATCAGTTTTAAAACGTTCCTTTAGGGACATTAAAAGTAGGCTACAGTATTGGTTTGACCATGGTTACCTTTGGTAAAGGTTCCAGTCACACTACAGTTCAATAAAGAGCAGTGTGGATAATTTGAGTCTGTAGAGCTGAATGTTAACAATACCATTTTACAGAACTATGGAAATATGTTACCCTTTATTAAGATATCAATAGGATATGACTAGATATGATCAGAATCCAGTGGTGGGTTGCCCCTTGTCACCATGGTAACACTCTGGGAGGCTGTGAGTGACACTATCCCTGGATATGTGAAGGAAAAAGCCCCGAACACTCTCCCACCCATACTCTCACCTCTCGTATGGCGACTATCGTGTTCTCTGGAGCGTCGTGCCCTCCGCCCCGGTGAGCGACCACCGACACCCGGCCGGAGCCCACCGTGCCCCTGAGCGGGTGCAGCACCTGCCTGACTCGGCTACTCGGTACCTGGGGGAACCGGAACATGGCCACAAAGAGGTAGAGGGAGACGGTGAGGGCGGTGGTCCACACCGGGCTGCGGGTCCCCAGTAGGACCAGCACGAAGACCACCGAGTACAAGGTGACTTCATCTCCGAGCTGCAGCATGGTGTCCTCTATTCCTTCCCGACTGTCAAATAAGGGAAATCGGGACCTGGTGTCAAATTTCTCCGCAGCCTGTCAGTTAAGCATTCCGCTACCCTCCCTGGTAAGTTTACTTTATTCAAACACCCTCTATGCGATGACGTCATGCTCCGCCTACCTAACTACTAAAACCAGATAAATACAATGCTTAGCAACAGGATAAAGCCTGAAACTGCAGTGACAGTTCACATGAAAACGGGAACTCACTGTTATGACTGTGCGAGGCGGATATGACAAATCTGCCTCACGTTACGCGTCTTTTCTGCAAGCTGCATTACCTTTGCAGCTAAAAGTACTGAGTTAGGTTCAGGTGAGATTTAATTAAAAAAAGGAATTCAAAGTTTGTGATCATATACGACTTTCCCACAAGGGGGCGGACCGGGCACGTGAACATATACAATATTTTAAAAATAATCTTTGTTGAATACATCCGGGTCATGTTTTTTAACTAAAATGTATTTTTGTTGTCTTTATTATTTTAATTCAATAATGGGGGAAAACTGCTCTTAAGACATGCATTTAAAATATAACAGTAATAGTTTTAACAACGTTGATGGTAGTTTTTATACGCATAACATCCGGGTCAGAGTGTGTAGGTCATGTAAGCTAACAGCTCTGAAAGTGTTGCCTTTGGTCTCTTACTTCCAACAAGAAGATTGGTGTTTCTTGGTTTTTCTTCTTCGACTAATCATGTCGTCAGTCATGGTGAGCCCCTTCTCTCTCACATTTTTACATTGATTTAATTGAAAATAGTGTAAAAATAAGTTGATTTAGTAGCAGCACAAGCTAAATGCTGCTTTGCCTTGAATTTATGACAGGTCAATCTGAAGTAATCTACTGTGTTCCACTCTGGTTAATCGATACTAACATAATAGTCTTTGCATATTGACATTATTACTGTTACCTCACTTCTAATTAAAGTTACATAGGAATTATTGCTCGTGGTACCTTGCTCATACATTCAAACAACTGAAAGACTGAATCTGAATTGAGAAACCTGTTATAGCCCTCTTATTTATGTTTAATTGTTGTTGAGACTTTTAAGCTTTTGTGTTTATTAGTGGTGCTGTATTGCATTACTTTGTATAACTTGGTGTAAAAGTTGTAATTAACAGTTTAATTGTTTGTTGTCTCGAAAATGTCTGACTGTTTCAAATTAAAGAGAAAATTAGAGATGTTTTGCACTTTGTTAAAATTATATTCTTATTCTATATTATTCAGAGTTTTTGCAGATACGTTTTCTTATCATTTATTTTGTAGGTTGTTGTTGCTCTTGCACAGTATCAACTGTACCTCTTTTCTACAGATCAGGTCAGTGCTGTTGCACAGGGTAACCTCCCACATCCTGTCCTGCACCAGAGGATCATGTCTACTCACAGGTCGGATATCTTATGGTGTGCAGCCTCATTCAAGTCTCACCCCCATCCAGCAGAACTTCCAGGGACCCCTGATACCTAAAATCACAGCCCTGGCCAGGTACTCTGACCTGACAACAGAGAAGTACACTGTGATTTACAACATGCCGCACATAAGGCTCCTCAGAGCTGTGTCCAGGCTCAAGCTGCTCCAAACCGCAGTCACCATGGTCCTCTTGCCACCGGTGTACTTCTTCTACCTCCATGGAGACGTCCCCTTCTTCCTCGTTGGCTACTCTACGGGGACAGCACTGTTTGCTGGCGCCATGCTGTTCACTGCCAGTCACTTCTTCAGGAGTGTGGTGGGGAGGATGTACCTGGACCCCTCCCAGACCACCCTCAAAGTATCCCACCTCACATTCTGGGGCCGGCGTAATGATATGTACCTGCCTGTGTCAGATGTTATGACAATTTCTGATACAGGTGACACCGTAAAAGAGAAGATATTGAAACTAAAGAGATTCAGCACTCCACAGACATTGTATTTCTCCACTCATTTTGGACGTGTGGTGGACAAACAGGGTTTTAAAAAGGTGTTTGGGATTTGATCAGTCCATTTTTTGAAAATGGACAGGTTGAGACAGTACTAGTCAACAGGTAGGGCTCCTATTTGTTAAACTTTTAAATATAACCTGTTTTGAGGAGGATCTGTTCTGCATTAAAATTAGGATTTTATGGGGGAAGGCTGACATTGATCTGTAAGTCGTTGTTTATCTCAAGTTTCCACCATGAATAACAAGCCCCCTTTAAATATTCAATGAAGCCTGTGATTGATGATTAAGGAAGCATATTTTGAGGGTTCAGTAGGACTGTGGCCTTCAGAATGAAAAAACATAACAAGAGTGATGGCAGTAATATGTTAATTTGGTCTTAATGGACCAAACAGAATGTGTAAAAACAGAAAATAAAACGTATTTTTCTTCTAATGTTTTACACTGAAATTCCTGGATAATTTATAAATAATAAATAAGTATTTCAAGGTAGGTAATGAAGAGTAGATTATTTAAATACTCTAAGTGACTTAGGCATGCACAGTGACTCATCTACATTAAAAGTAGAATACGGCATTTATTAATACCATCACATAGAAGACAACTATTATATATGCATACTTTAGTCACACTTTTTTCTGTGACTTTATAACTAAGACTTAAATTAAATATACCATTGTTGTACGATCAATTTGTATACAAGGTGGTGAGCCTTTCAGAAGATATGGTTCCTAGGGCTTTTGTAACCTTCAGTTTTCACAACCATAGCTATAATAGTCAATCTCAATGCTATCCTGCCCCCTGGTGGCCTGGAGAAGATACCTCAGCAGAACTGTTGAAGTTACTGCATCATTAGTACAATGTATACAGACTCTCTCTCCCCCCGCCCCCAAACCTCTGTAGAACAAAAATGTGCAAAGTCACTTTTTTGTTATCGAAGTAATTCAAATGAGGATCTCTGAAGAAAGCTGTTGTGAATTTTCGCCAGGTTAAGGTTTATTGGCTTTAACACAAGCTGAATGATATTAACCCATGGCCTCTTGTTGAGATTTATTTATGGACTTCCCTTTATTTAAAATCAGAAACTGCAGCAGTACATCATCCTACTTTATGAAATACATTTGTAAACCCTGTATGCATATTTCCACTGATTAAAGCATAACAAAAACAAATTGGCAAGTTAGATGTCAATGATGGGATGCCGCAAATGTTTGCCTGCAAACAAATCATCAAAAACTGTTATTTTCCAGCTTAATTGTTTCCTACTTTCAGGCAGTATATGATTAAAAGCTCTTTGCTCAGAGTTGAAGGCAGGATTTACTGCTCACAGAAGGTACCAGGCAGTGAAACCAGCGAGGAGAGCCACCCAGGCGGCCAGAGCCCACTGACAGGGGGGGTGTGTGAGGAGCGTCATGGCTAACTGGCAGGCGTAGGTGGGATTTCCACTGGCAACTGTAGAGAGGAGGTGAGGGATGAAAAGAATTAAGGAATGAGGCCATACAAAGCAGGAAGACTGTCATCATTAACAAGTCATTTCATGGATTACGACCCATTTAGATATGCTACAATATGGGGGACTTTGCTCAATTAAACATGCATAATTCAAGCCAATACTTCGGTTATAATACTTAACTATCACTAAATACAGAGGGATGAATCTGTGAAAAGGTCCTTTTTGACCCCCATTGTTTTTAAGTGACAGTTCTTTCTCCAAAATAAAATTATAATTGTTGGCACCCGCACTCATACATCCTTTTGTGCTGGGACTTTTAAAAACATCTCAGTTAAAGGACCCTATTGCATACCATTAAATGTGCTGTCGTATAAATTACCTGAAGCTAATCAAATTATTATTTTAAAAAGCATAATGAAGTGATATTTTATGGACTGTCTCACCCATTTTTGCTGCATAGTAGGGACACTTGTTGATATCACCCCCCTCCATGATCTCTGCATGACTGTGTCCTAACCCTGCATCTTGGACTTCTTCTTTGATAGTCTTCCCAATCTCTTCAAGCTCTGTAAATACCTGTTTACAGAATAAAAGTTGGGATTTGTTATAACTTTATCTTTCTCTTTCAAATAACATGTATTCTCATCAACTTTCTTAATGCATTTTGTTTCCGCTGCCCTCACCATCATGTTGAAGCTGAAGGCCCGGTTGGACTCGCCGACAATCCTTTCTTTGGTCTCAGCGTCCAGTTCGAGCTCGTTCATCCTGCTCCGGTAGAGCTGCTTGAAGCCTTTTTGACTGTGGATCCCCTCAAACTGGTAAAAGTTAAGACCCTCGCCCGTGGAGGAAAGTTTCAGCGCCCTCTGGGCCACTTTCTTGAGGATCTGTCCGCCTGAGAGGTCCCCCATGTAGCGGGTGTAGGAGTGGGCCACCAGCAGCACCGGGTCCCTCTGTCCCACCTCGTGGATACGGTCCACGTAAGGCTTGGTGCCAGCGGAGAGGCTGATCTGTGAGGGAGAACATGGACGTCATCGAAATTGCTGTCAATTCTATAGTGATGTGTAATTTCTGCAGCAGAAGTTTTTTTTAGTTTTAACCCATTTTGTAATAATTTCAGGAAAGACAAATAATGGAATAGAACTATGATCAAATTACAGAAAGCCGCAAAAATAATACACTGTGCTCTCTGCTGACCTGGCTCTCCCAGTCCTCTCCATAGAAGTACTCGAGGTCCCGGGCCAGGGCCTCGCGCCGGTGCAGCTCTGCAGGGAAATAGATCGGGGCGATGTGAGGATGGTCTTCATTCTTCTCAATCTCCTCCTCCATGGCTGCATAGACAAAGTACAGAGCTGCTGTGCCCCTCTGGCCACAGAAACAGAGAGAGAAAACGTGGGATAAACAAAGGTAATATGGTACAAGTTGTTAATTGGTGCTTAGTGAAGGGACAATTAGTTAATTTCTTTGGAAATATAGCAAAGACTGATAGGGAACTGTGACAAAGAGCAAAAGCAAAGGTTGGATTCAAGAGCTAAAAGTAAGATATTACTGATTCACTTTTGTATGCATGTATTGCTGTTTTGTTTAAATGTTGGTACTGGTGCCATTATTGTGCCT